GGAATGCCCTCAGGACAGGCGATGGCTTCACCGCTCCGTTGGGCAGGGGGTTAAGGAACATGTCCCTGCAAGGGAGAAACTGACAGCCCAAAAGAAACGGGCCGTAGGCTGAACTGCGGGCGACACCCTGAAACTGAGAGAGCTGGCGGCGAGGAGGGGCGCGGCCCTCTAACGCCTTGGGTACTTAACCTCCTGAAGAGACCCGGCTGGGGTTTAGCGGCGGCCTCCAGCAGCTGACAGGAAGGTTTAGGGGACGGCCTCAACGGCAAGAATCCCGAGACGTTACGGACGGCTGCAGCACTCACCCCAAGGAGGGACCGCAGCAGTAGCAGTAGCGGTTCTGCGTCCCAGAACCTCTTGCAAGGATTCGGCCGCTCCACAAAATGGCGCCTCCGCCGACGGCCGTCTCCTACCCACAATACCTCGCGCCTATCCGCCCCCCGCACCCGTCACCCGCCTCTGCAGAGGCGTCCAATCCTCAAAAGCTCCCAGATGCGCAAAGGCTGCCGGGAAATGTGGTCGCTCGGGCATCCTGTCACTACGTCCTGTTAATTTCTTGCGTATTTCTCTTTATTGTAACACTGGACAGAATTGCCAATCTGCCTTTCAGGACCGGAATGAGAGCTTTTACGGCTTCTATTAGGCATAGTAATTGTTTGCCTTTCCTACAAGCGCCTGACACCATGGAAAACGCGTCTCATCTGTCAAAAGAAGGAATGTTGTCGATCACTGTCCTAGATTGTGCTAAATGCTTATTTTTTTGTGTGTCTTTATCATAAACTATGAGATGGCACTAAACCCATTTTTTCAGGTGAGGTAATTGAGGATTATGGAAATTGAGCTAATTCTTGTAGGCAGGTTTTCAATTTCATTCCATTGATATTCTTTAAAGCAAAATCTCAGAAAAGTCACTTTCCAGAATTATTAAACTGGCATAGTTAATATGGACAAAACCACTGTCTCCTTTACAAACTTCCTAGCTCTTACACCACAATTTTCCACTTTCCCTTGTTCAGGACAAAACCTTGTAGTAGTAGTAATACCCATGACTTTTCTCATTTACTGGCACATAATCCGTCTACAAATTCTGTAGAAGCTACCTTTAGAGTGTATTCAGAGTCCGTCCACTTCTGTCTCTACTGTTCTTCTAGTCAAAGCCATCACTGTCCTTGTTTTACAAACCTAGTAGGTCATACAAGCTAATAATAGTGGTGGAACTGGGAATTGAACTAATTTAGTTTCAGAGAACATGCCCTTAACCACTAGAATGAGGAAGAGCACTTATGTCTGTTTAGTTTACTACAATATCCCTAGTGCCTCTACTGGTGCACACATGGTGCACAAGCAGTAAGCAATGAATGAACAAGTCAATCTGCTACCAAAGCATAATCTTTATGGCAGAAAGAAGCAAGGAACTTTGGGAAATTCAAAAGAGGATATTTTGGACTCTGATGGCCTTTGAGATAGTTCCACCTCACTTGTATATATGTATTGTGTAAACACACACATTTTATATATATATATATATATATATACATACATATACACACACACAATATATATAGTGTCCAATGTCCAATTTATGGGGGGAAGCACATATTTAAAATTTTAATCAACAGAAAAAAGTACATATATATGATCCATAGAAGGCACTTGAATACTGTATTTAATGAAATATTTACTTAAACATAGCCTGGGCATGGGGGCACGCACAGTAATCCCATAATCCCAGCAACTGGAGAGGTTGAGGCAGGAGGATTCAAGTTCAAGATCAGCCTCACCAACTTTGAGACCCTCTCTCAAAATAAAAAATAAAAAGGGCTAGGGATGAGGATGTTGCTTAGTGGTAAAGCACTCGGGTTCAATCCCTAGTTCCAAAACAAATACAATAGATGAGGTCATTGCAAACTCTACAATGAATGATGCAGATGTCAAGAACTGGGAACTCTCTAGACTTAATGGCTACTAGTGGCTGACTGCCTTGTCCCCAGAGTAGTTCCAACAAGCATTTTTTGTTGGAAGGGAGGTTTCTGGGAATTAAAACTAAGATAATTTCTTTTGTCAGAGGTGGGCTTTGATAAACTAGATATACAATCAAAATTTAACCCAGCATTTCTATGGAAAACACTGTAAATTTATTGAGTGCATACTGTGTTATCCAGGCCTTAGGGATATAGTAGTAAAGAAAGATCTTTATCCAAGATCCCTACTCCAGCACTGACTAAAAGCCTTAGGGAACCTCTGAAGGACATCACAGGATGACACTTTTCACACCCTCATTCCTATTTTCATTAGTACCCAAGGTACTATTATTAAAATGTATTAAAAATTTGAGGCCTGATTTCCAAAATCTCCAATTGCAAAAATCAAGCCATTAAATCAATTAAACAAACACCTTAGTAATGGGTCAAACTAGTCTGATATTTGAGCTTAAATATTTCCTTCAGGGAAGATGTTGCTATCACCAAACAAGGATTAAGTCCATGTCATATCATTCTGATAGCTTATTGTACTTCTCCCTTGAGGTGTTCATCACATCAGTAACTACTCAGTATTCATTTTTACCAGTGGTCTGAATCCCATGGGCAGAGACCAATACTAGTCTTGTTATAAGCCCTGGTGGTAAGTAGACTAAGTTCTCAAAATTGATAATTTAATAACCAAATAGTGTCTCTACTGAGCAGTCAATAATTGGGGTTAATAACTTCATTCAATGGTGAAACATTTGATGTGTCCTACATCTTGTGTTCCCAGTTCAGTGGGGTAAGACAAGTTTAGAAGGAAAATCTGGTTTGGCCTATCCAGGATAAAACTGGACCAGTTCCCAAAAAGGATTTTGACCAATACAGAATATTGAGATGCACCACAGATGAACCTGCAGACCACCAGTTTGACAAGAGGGCTCTGGGAGTACCACTGTTCAGGGTTGAAAGATTCAGATGTAATGTAGCACTGGTGATACCAAGTCCCAGAAACTGCAGTTCTCAATTCCTAAGCTAATGTTTTTATTTGTTTTCCTTTTTAGAGGCTTACACAGATTTGTTATCAAAGGTTAAGAGAAGTTACATACCTGCAATCCCACCTGCTTTGGAGGCTGAGGCAAGGATTGTTAAATTTGAGGCAACCTGGGTAATTAAGACCGTCTCAAATATAAAATTAAATTTTAAAAAAGGGATGGAAATACCTCAGTGGTAGAGAGCTTGCATCTTAAGTGTGAGGCCCTGGGTTTGATCCTCAATATGAGAGAGGGGAACATCTGGACACAGGATGGCAAACAATTTAATGGACATTTATAATTACTGTTGCTGGTAATGTTTTCTCCTTAGCATACAACCCCTTTTACATCTACCAGTCCTTACTGCCCAATCCCTACTTTTTATAATACAATTCAGCTCTCCTTGGTCTTACTTTATGCATACAGATTATGCCCTCAGACCAAGCACTGACAAACTACAATTTCAGACCAACTATAGCCTGTGTCCTATTATTTTTAAACATTTTTTTTTTTACTTATTTATTTTTTAGGTGTAGATGGACACAACACAATGCATTTATTTTTATGTGGTGCTGAGGATTGAACCTGGGTCCTGCCCGTGCTAGGTGAGCGCTCTACCGTTGAGTCACAATCCCAGCCCCCTGTCCTATTTTTATGAATAAAGAAATAGTTATTATTGAATCATAGCCACACTTGTTTACATTGCTATGTCTGCTTTTCCCCTACAATATCAATGCTAAATAGTTGGCAGCAGAGATCATTTATCCATTCAGCCTAAAGCAGTAAATCTCTGCTCTTTTGACAAAAATTATGTAGACTTCTGCCTTATACCATAAAAAATGCTCTTTAAAACTTTCAATTCTCCTAACATTTTTCCCCTGAGACATGTGCAAAGTACAATTCTTAGCACTATATTACCTTGAATAATTATTTTTAAAAGTTCTAACAGCTTCATAGACTTGGTCTTTAAACTACAAAGATTTTTTTTTTAGCTCACTTTTGAAGCAAACTTTTGTGAAATGGTATGATGGGAAATTTGAAAAGGATCTGGAAGATAGTAGATAACTCCTTGGAGGGTTTTAGCTCTGTAGAGAAGGAGAGTTGTGGCAGTGGCCACAAAGGAATGCCAGTATTTATTATGCCAAAGTTTGTGATCAGTGTCAAGCATCGAGTACCCAGCAGGTACTCAGAAAAAAAGGTATCATATTGCCTGTCCACTTCCCCATAACCATGAAGAAGTCAGAAAAAGACTTTTTTTTTTTTTTGGTACCTGGAATTGAATCTAGGGGTGCTTTACCACAGAGCTGCAACCCAGTCCTTTTGTTCCTTCCTTAATTTTGAGACAGGTACTTGTTAAGTTGTTGAGGATATCACTAAATTGTTGAGGCTGGCCTTGAGTTTGTAATCCTCCTGCTTCAGGCTCTCAAGTCCCTGGGATTTAGGCATGTACCACTGTGCTCAACAGAAGAGGACTTTCTTTTTAAATGCTGGGGATTGAACTGAGGACCTTGTTTCAAAGCTCTAATCAGCTGGGTGTGGTGGTACATGCCTATAATCCCAGTGGCTCAGGAGGCTGAGGCAGGAGTTCAAAGCCAGCCTCAGCAAAAGCGAGGTGCTAGGCAACTCAGTGAGACCCTGTCTCTAAATAAAATACAAAAATAGGGCTGGGGATGTGGCTTAGTTGTAAGCCAACAAATGGAAGTGTGTTCTGCCTTAGTAGTTACCAAAAAACAAACAAAAAAACACCCAGAAATGAATAACTAAATGCTATTTTCACTGATTAGAGAAAAAAAGTCTAGAAATCTGATAGCATTCACACAAGCTATTTGAAGGTCGTCACCAACTGCCCACTTACACTGATAGGAGGCAGCATTCCAGGGCTCACTGTAGCACTAGTTGCCATTTCAACATCACTTCAGATGCGCCCACACCAAGGCATTCTCTCTCTCCTTCCATTAAGTACACCCTCTACCAGTCTTTGGGAGAAAACTTCAACAAAAAATAATCACATTGAAAAAAAGTTTATTTAAAAAAGTTCTAGCAGCAAGAACAGTAACAAAACAAAAGGAGAGACAGACAAACAAAAAAGGAGATGTGTCCTGTGGGACTTGTCTCCATTCTTAATCAAGTTCTTTATACCGAGCAAACATTACTCTTCGAACAGCATCTCGGTAAGTCTCATTGGACTGTCTCTTGCTGGTTCTTCCTGGAGTGCCAACACCAGGTCCCCGCATCCGGCCATCCGTCTGCAAAACAAAGACAGTGAGGTGGGCTTTGTGAATTAATCAGTCTCAGGGCTGATCTCTGACCACAAGCATTTCTGAACCTGAAAGGAGAAGGTTATAGGGGAATTAAACAACAACAACAACAAAAAACTTTCATTATAAAACAAATAGGAGGATGGTGATACCATGACTGCTGGTACAGGCCTCACTATTAGAGATATGAGAAGCTTTGTAGGAAAGAGATAAGCCAATCTTCTATGGCTGGCATTTTGAGAGAGGAACCAAGCCAATAAACAATGGGCAACGTTTCTTCTGATTCTTTTCTTGAGGCTCTTACTGCAATATGAGAAGCAAAGTCCTTTCTGGAAACCAGGACTATGCTTCTCAATCTTTTTTTTTTTAATATTTATTTTTTAAATGCAGTCGGACACAATACTTTCTTTTTATTTATTTATTTAGATGTGGTACTGAGGATCGAACCCAGGGCCTCGCACTTACTAGGCCAGCGGTCTAGATTGAGAACCCAGCCCCTTCTCAATCTTTAGCCATCAGAGTCCTCTGCTTATAATCCCTCTAGGAGCCACTATAGTTTTTTTTTGTTGTTGTTGTTGTTGTTTTGGGGGGGGTATGGGGATTGAACCCAGAAGTGCTTAATCAGTGAGCAACATCCCAGCCTTTTTTTTTTTTTAATTTTGAGAGACAGGTTCTCCAATAAGTTGGTGAGGCTGGCCTTGAACTTGTGATCCTTCTGTTTCAGCCTTCCAAGTTGCTGGAATTACAGGCATGTGTCACCATGCAAGGCAGTTTATACTTTTTATTGTTTATTCCCTGGTTCTTTTTACCGAGTGATCCTTCAATTTCAAACTATCAGATTCCCATACTGCTCTCTATAGAGTATAAACTCCATTCCAATGTTTCCCTCCCCTTCCCATTGCAACCAAACCACCAAAGGCCCAGCATGCCAAGCTATACCCCAGTGATCAAAACTGGGTTTTTGAGCTCTCATATCTTAGGTCAGTAGTAGAAAATCCTAGTTAAAATGATATTATGCTGGACCAGAGAGGAAGAGAAAGTTATAAATATTTTAGGCTCAAGTAGCCTCCAACAACATGGAAATAATTTTACCTCCTCTGATGAACCCAATCCAGGATGGCCATATCCTAAGCCTGCCCCTTTCCTCCAGCCAGTGGCTTGCTGGACACAGCCACCTTTACTGTTAGTGTCAAGGTCTTCTTTATCAACAGATTTACGATCACTGTAAGAGAAGCAGACATACACAATCACTTCAAGACGACCTGCTGGTGAGTCTAACAAAACCTTCTGTTCTTAGGTTCAGATATGTCTTCTATAAAGAATATGAAACAACACCTTTGAGTGCCTGCTACCTACACATTAGGCTTATCCTGGGGATTCAGAGATGACCATGATTTGGCCCTGTTCATGGAAAAAGATGTGAGAATTATGACAACAGATGCTTACAGAGTATTGAAGGGTTTGACCGTGGATGTGGCAACAGTGGATATCTGTTAGAGAAACAAAATTGGACACAATCTCTGAGGGGTTGTCATTAAAAAATCATTAAAAATATGATGGGGGGCTGGGGTGATGGCTCAGTGATAGAGTGCTCTCCTAGAATGTATGAGGCACTGGATTCGATCCTCGGCACCACATAAAAACAAACTAAAGTATCCACCTAAAACTAAAGATACATAAATAAATATTTAAAAAATATGATAGGAAGGTACATTCTGAATTGGGTCTTTTTTTTTTTTTTTAACTTTTTAGTTGTTGATAGAACTTTATTTATTTATTTATGCGTGGTGCTGAGAACCAAACCCAGTGCCTCACACATGCCATGTGAGTGCACTACCGCTGAGCCGCAGCCTCAGACCTGAATTGGGTCTTGACAAATAATTAATGGGCTAAAGAAAGTATGAGAGTAAAAGACACAAACAAGGAAAAGTGAAAGAACACAATCTTTCCAGGAGAGGAGTGGTAGGAATCTGAGGGCAAATTGTAAAAAGGCTTGGAAATTAAGCTAAATCAGGCCTCTGCGCAACCTTCCTCAGGCATGTAATCCAGCCCTCTTACTAGGCAAGGTGTATGTTCACAAAAAGGGCAAGTTGTTCAATCCCCCGTAACTAACACACACACACACACACACACACACACACACACACACACACACCTCTCTTATTTTGGGCTGTGATCAAATTAAGCTGAAATATCAGGGCCCCAGACCCTGTCCAACGACTTCAGGGTTTATTCTGTTAATCATCTCCTTTCCTCACAGGTGTAATCTCCTCCAGCTGCTGATTTTTTAGCTTACTGACAAAGAGACCTACTCAAGCTCTCTTGTTAAAATGACTACTCTCTTTCTGCTGATGCATCCTCTTGTCACCCTTTTCCCCCTTTCAAGGCTTTAACTGCTTCCTCTCACTATAGACACCCAATAGAAACCTGAGTATCATCAGTGACTTTTCTGGTTTCCCAGATAACCTACTGATCACAAACACTGATGGATTTGATACCTTTAACTCATTCTCCTTGCCATACTCCCTGCGTGTTCTCAGATTTAGTCCTTTTATGAATTCATCTTCCACCTAACAATCTCTCTAAAATGCAAAACTAGATGAACACCTTACTTAAAATCATTCCATGACCTCCCAATACTATTTTCGGTGGGTGGCGGGGAACAGTACTAGGGATTGAACCCAAGACAATGTATCACTGAGCTACATTCCCAATCTCTTTTATTTTTTCTTTTGAGATTGGCTAAATTGCCCAGGCTGACCTTGAATCTGTGACCCTTCTGCCTTAGCATCCACAGTCAGTGGGATTACAGGCGTGTACCACTACACCTTGCTTTCCCACTGCCTTTAATGAAAACAACCTTAATTGTTGAGAGCCACAGTTTAGTCGGAATGACGCCTGGCATTTTGCTAGAGGGAATGGTTGAAAGGTGACCCTGCTCTGGGATTAGGGCGGCTCCGGGATTAAGGTGGATCCTCCAGGAATAGGGCAGCTCTGGGATTAGGGACGGATCCTGCTGCCTGGCACCCGCTACTTTGGAGTTCGTATTGAGTTCGGAGTGCGGAGCCCAGTGGAGGGAGTGTGTTCCCGGGAAGTGTGTGTAGAGTGCCGGTGAGAGTTCGGGAATAAAGAGTTGCTGTTTGAACCTACAAGGCTTTGTGGCGGCTCGGTTATTTTGTGCCCAGACAGACTGCGGCACTTAATGGTGCATGGTGTTTAAGGAGTACAAACTTCACAAACTGGCCTTTATTTGTTGTATCTGCTGTATTTCTTGTCACTCAACAACACACTCCCAATGGTTAGCCTCATCAAACTACTTATAACTCCTCAAATGCAGCATGAACTTTTTCATTCATGCTATATCATTCCCTCCAAGTGAAATGCCCTCCCTGACATACATCACCTAAACTTTCTCAACATTCTGTGTTCACACCGATGTCAAAGACATTGTATATATTGTCCACCTAAGTATAACACAGTACCTGTATACAATGGATCATCAACAGATTCCACGTAACTCTGGGCTTATAATTTGGGAACTATTTGTATTTTTAAATTTTGAGGCAGAGTCTCACTAAGTTGCTGAGATAAGGTGCCTGACTGTAGCCACTCCCGCCTGGCTTTGAGCAACTGAAGAACCCAGCCAACCTTTCATGTAAATGCACATATTTCTGGTATAAATATATGTAGTCAAAAGGCCAGGGTGGATCTCATGCTCAAGGAATTCAGACAAACCTTGTTTTTAATAGCTTCACTTCTTTGAAAGAGAAAACAGTGGCACACTTAAAAGAAGATGGTTTTACTGTTAAGTGTTGAGGCCATGGCTTAGTGAAGGGTTTGTCTTACCTGTCAGTTTCCCTGGAGTATTTAATCCGTTTCCTTTCTGGAGAGTCAAAAGACTGGAGCTTTTCCCTGCGATCATTTCCCTTCTCTTTAAACCGACCCTGTAGGTGAGCAGAAAAGCAGACCTAAGATTTACACTTAAGGAGGTTGGGAGGTGGAGAATCTGACGTCTCTTTTTATTTCCTTTTTTTTTTTTTTTCTCTGAAAAGGGGTTTGCTATGCTGCCCAGGCTGGGCTCAAGTGATCATCCTCCCTTAGTCTCCCAAGTGCTAGGACTACAGGCATATGCCACCACACCCGGCTCTAATACTTCTTTTAATGTGAAGATTGCTCAACTGGTAACTCCTGTAATCTCTCACTCATGCATACGCTTCTAGCAAATACAGTGGCTTCTTTAGCTGATAAATTTGAAAAGAATTAATTGACATGCTTATCTCAGCTGTCTTTGCCCCTTCCAAGAAACAGATAATCTCCCAGAAGTCTTTCCATAAAAGGACTCTTAACCACCACATAAGACCTGCCCTGAGCTAATGGAATCTATATCTGGGGTTATGAAACTATCTAGTTGTATGGTTTAGACAGCAAGTCAAAGTGGCTCCTATACTAAACTACTTCCTACAACTTAGCCTTTAATAGTAAAAACTTCTATTTCAACAGTGCTAACACTCCTTCATTTTCCCAATTGATTTAAAATTTGGGGAAGAAAGAAGAGTACTATTTATTGACCTATATGGAGAAAACCGAACACCATCTTTAAAAAAAACAAAAAAACTTTATTGAGGTATAATTTATAAACAACAAAATTTAGAATCCACTTTAATTTAGAATTTAATATGTTTTAATGATCATGTTTTGGGGCTTCTTTGTTATCTGTCTTCTTATAAGGAGGGCTCAATATAGCCTACAAAGTCCATAACAGAGAAGAAAAAGAATTGGGGTCAAGTTAATTGAGGTCACCAAAGTTTACCTCGCGTTCTCTCCTCTCCAGGTAGGCTAGCTCCTGCTCAGACTGTTTAATTTTCCGGTGGATTTCCAGGTTTTGCTGAGAAAAGAAGGAAATCTAAGAATATAGGTCAAGGAAAAAATGGTCCTACAAAAGCTTCTAGGCCTTTCCTAATACTGTACATCTTCTGATTGGCTGATTCTTCTAAATGATCACAGTACCATGTAAGCAACAAGCTCTAACTGGTCTTACTTTGGTCTCATCAATGGGGAATCTAGATTCTAATGCAGGATTTACCTTTCTCCAAGATGTGGAAAACAAATTTGGTTTTTGTCTTCAACTAAAGTGAAAATTAATGGGAGAGGATCCGAGTGCACCAGTGAAGAAAACTACATGCCCACACATTCTGCCTACCACTTCTACCATTCATTATCACTAGACACTAGTCACTCTTTCAAGGGCCCAAAGAAATATAAAAAGTAGCACCATAGTCCTAAAGGAACAAATGGACTGTTCTAAGAGCCCCATACTCCTCAAGCATAGCTCCACTACACAAGGATGCAGGTATATATATGAATTATAAGGAGTCCAAACAGTTCTTGCATGGACAGATGGTTTGTACTAGATGACTCCAAGAAAAGGAAAAGTAATTCAGTCCACTGTCCTAGGGCTCATCACACCTATGACTCCTCTATCCTGATCACTACTTTTCATCTCTTTTCCCATTTACTGGCATTTTCAGCAGAAAGCTGAAATTCAAATGTGTCAATATAACGACTCAGAATTCCAGAAGGTCAAGGGGACTTGGACAGTAATTATGTTCCAGGGATTGTCCAGGAGGAGCATCTCAAGAGTTCTAGGAGCTTTGCACAGCCTTCATAGGGGCAGGCTGGGCAAAGTGGTTGGTATACTTATACCAAAAGAAAAACGTCTCAGCTTTTAGCTATGCATGATTCTGGGTTTTATGTTGAGAGAAACCTAAATCCATTCCCTTCACATCTTATCTTGCAATATCTGTTAGAAAAGAAGTATGAAGAAATTACTCTGAGAACATGTTTATCTAGGGGCTTTGTTTATAATTTGGCTGGCTCCTTAGTAAGTATAAATAAATGGGAAGACTGCAGGAGAAGACCAACATATGTAAGTTTAACAGCCCCAAAATATCTGTTTTGTTGTTGCTTATAATTATACTCACTACATTAGGAGATGGCAGAATCTGACTCACAGCTAGATAAAACCAGATGAATGTCAAAGAAGAGAAGGGGCTTATCTGAGGTCAACTGTTAGAAGGTACAGCCTTAATACATAACTGTGAACTATGCATTACTTCACATGAACAAAAAGTAGAAGATAATTAATTCTTGAACTGAACTGACTGAATGATAGGAACTGGGGGATTATTTAGGCTAAGGAAGGACAGTATAAGCTTTATTCTCTGTAATACCCGTCAATGCAAAGAATCAAAACTTGAAAAGTCATGGCCCCTTCCTTTAATACCTTGTGCAGGTCCGACAGCTGTTGGTGTTTGATTAGAACTTCTTTATTGGGAAACTGTCTCCTGCAGAGCAGACAAGCCAGTTTATTCCAGTCAGTAAGTTTGTCTTCTTCATTTTCCTTCTTGGTCAGCAATTCCCGTGGCTGGGGCTGTGCTGGGCGGGGCTGTAGAGGAGGGATCTGTTCCTCCTCCTCTTCTTCCTCATAGTCACTGTCTCCTCCATATTCACCCAGGAGGCCAATCAGTGGGTTTACCACCTTCGGCTGAAAGAAGGAGGCGGCCAGGGATCAACACCAACTCAAGCTACATTTTTTGGGCCCCCCCCCCCTTTTTAAAAAATATTTTGATATGGGTATTTCCTGTCTTTTTTCTCTTTTAGTTGAAATAGTGAACTGGGTTCAAAACATGCCCAATGCCATGCTGTTCATTTCCCAGGTGGCAGCAACATGCCTAGAGCTTGATCTTGTTCCTTGATCACTGAGGAAGAGAGAAGGGAACTGGCATAGAAAACAGCAAAAGAACTATAAAATTACCATTTGTGTACAATGTGTCAAAATGCATTCTACTGCCATGCATAAGTAATTAAAAAAAAAAAAGAATTATAAAGAGGAAGTGATGAACACCTCCAAATCACTGTAACCCATGGAAAAAGGAAAGATGAATTTCACCAAGGCTCTAGGTAAAGGAGATTTAGGAGGCAGACTAGAAACAACTTTGGTAATAAGCATTCGGGTAGACCAATCTGGCTCCTGAGTAAGGTAAAGAACATTGTTAGGAGAGATGCCATAATGAGCTGAATTAATAATGTGGAATAGGCAAAGAATACCTTGTAGAAACTGCTTAATAATGATGCATGGTCACTGGCCTATCATCAATGGAAATTAAAAAAATAGAACATGGTCACTACTGTTGTATATTTATATTCAATTGGAATCATTAGTGATTAGGTTGAGACTATCACTCACTTCAAGGTACCTAAAAATGGGTAATAATATTAGTATCTTGACCAGTCAGGCCAACTATGAAAATGACCACATGCATACTCTACATCTAAGATTCTTACGTGGCACTAAAAGGCATGAAACACAGATAACAGGAAAATGGGTTTCCTTGGTGATTTAGAAAAGAACTACCAATAATAAGATTGTAACTTAAAAGGGCTGGACATTTGGTTAGGTAAAAATGGTAGACACCCTTGTTAGCAGACTAGAAATTTAAACTCATACTTATAATCAAGAGGAATCCTTATTTCTGAGAGAGAGAGAGAGAGAGAGAGAGAGAGAGAGAGAGAGAGAGAGAGACACAGGGCCAAGCCCAGAGTGAGGCACCAGCCTTTGAGTTTCCTTTCCTATCCAGAAGCAGACCCAGCCCTACCGTCCCCAGGGCATCCACATGAAGCCTTACTGGAGGGGGGCTTTCTTCCTTCTTCACAGTGGGAGGCAGGGGCTTCTTAAAGACGTCCTCTGGAGGGGCCTTCCCCTCACCGGCATTTTCCTGAAACTGACCAAACCTTGAGGTAATTTTTGTACCCCTCAGTACTGGTGATTGAACCCAGAGCCTGCAGCATGCAAGGTAAGCTAGCTCTACTACTGAGCTACATTCCCATTCTCTGAAGTAACTCTTACATGATAACTCACTCAAAGAAAAAAAAAAAAAAAAGAGTTAAGAGTCAACCCTGTTGAAATGTTGCTATCATGATTTTGAAATATAGAGTCTTTTAAAATATAACATTTAAAGGCGGGGGTATGGTTCAGTGGTAGAATGTGTTCCTAGCATGTGTGAGGCTTTGAGTTTATTTCCCTGCACCAAAAACAAACAATATAACAGGGCTGTAGCTCAGTGGCAGAGCCTTTGCCTAGCATGTGTGAGGCACTGGGTTTAATCCTTAGCACCACATGAAAAAAATAAATAAATAAACGAAATAAAGGCATGCTTTTCATCTACAACTACAAAAATTAATAAATACATTAAAAATATAACATTTACATATATTATATGATTACTACATGTCAGGCACTACATGTATACCATTATCTTCTTTACCTTTTACTACAACCTTTCTAGATAGGCATAAATAGTCTTATTTTACAAATGACTGGGAATACAATTATAAAGATTAAGGGGCAGAAGAAGAATCCAAACATTAAGCTAATAAGACTCTGAAGTTTAAATTCTTAGATAAACAAGTATACATACATACTTTCTTCTCTTTTTCTGTTTCACTAAATGACTAGCAATATTAGAAGGAAAAGAAAAAGGTAAAAGTTATGAATTGCATCACAATAAAATTCATCTACTTTCACTAATATGTAACTGGTACAAGGGTAAATCAATATGCTTCAGAAAGTAATTTTATTTTATATTGCTTGTGAAAAAATGTATCATCTTTGATTCTGAAAATTTATTCTAAGGAAGTAATTTAAAAAGAAAAAACAGGGGGCTGGGGATATAGCTCAGTTGGTAGAGTGCTTGCCTTGCATGCACAAGGCCCTGGGTTCAATTCCCAACACCATTTAAAAAAAAAAAGGAAAAATAGGGGTTGGGGCTATATCTCAGGGGTAGAGTACTTGCCTAGCACATCGGAGGCACTGGGTTTGATCCCCAGCACCACATAAAACTACATAACAAACAAAATAAAGGTATTATGTCCATCTACAACTAAAAATATATATTTTTTTTAAAAAAGGGAAAAATGCTAAATGCTGCATATTATAATAGATTTGAAAGTGACAATGAAGACTTCTGAAGAAAATGACGGAATAGTTTATTGTGAATTTTAAGCATAGAAGCACTGAAAATAAAGGATTATGATATAAACATGAAAAATACTTATGATAAAACAGAAAGTTAATAAAGAACACAGAATGGTATTTCCTGCTACAATTATTCCTAGAGGAAAATGTGTATCCAGAGTTAAGCACTAAAAAAGGCAAGCAGAAAGGTAAAAATTTGTGTAGATGAGGTATTGGGATTTGAATTGAATCATTTTGTTCTACCATCCAAGTTTCTCATTTGTAAAAAGGAGAGTGTTACTATAGGGCTATAAGACACATAAGAAGGGACTGCCTTGAGTTGTTTTTTTTTTTCCCTTCTTTCAGTACTGGGGATTGAACTCAGGGCTTTGCACATGCTAGGCAAGCACTCTATCACAAAGCTACATCCCCAGCCCCTTTAAATTTTTTTTCTCCCTGAGACAGGGTAGTCTCATTAAGTTGCCCAGGCTATCCTCTAACTTTAGATCCTCCTGTCTCAGTCTTCAGAGTTGCTAGGATTAAGTATGCCACTGTGTCCCGTTTATTTTTTCAGTAACTTTATACCTCAAACCTAGATCACTGTTCATAAATCCTACATTTAGATCTGTAATCATGTGGTAAAAGCAGACACACAAGTCCTCTTACCCTTGTCACTCCTCTGTCTTTTTTCTCCTTGCTATCTTTTTTAGGCATTTCCTTTTTGCTATTTGACTTCCCTTGACTGGTGGGTTTCTTTTCCTTTATTTCTTCTTCCTCAGGTGACCCAGGGTCCTGGGGCACATAGACTTCTTGCTGTAAATATAGTGGGAAAGAGATAAATCTAAGGAATATTTTACTTTCCTTCAATTCCAGGTCTAAGGAGCATAGTTCCCCTCTATGAAAAAGAATTGCTCTTAGTCACAAGCCTAAGAGTCTATATATCAATCCATTCCAGAGGCCAGGGCACACGCACACCACCATTCATCCACTTTTTCCAAGAGCAGCACTGATCTTACCTGTAATGCCACAAGGCACTGATTTTTCCATATAGGTAAGAGTTCAGTTTCCATTGATTTAAACTTTTCCACTTTTCATGCAATGAGAATCCAGAAAATAAATTCCTCAAAATGACAAATTATGGGTGCTTCATTCAAAAGGATCATTGGAAGAATAAACAAAGCCCAAAACTCACCTGGGTGTTGGGGTCATAATAAGTTCCTGCCAAGGGATCATAATAGTAGCCAGTAGCAGAATCATATATGTAGCAGTCAGATGATGCTACAAGAAATAAAATCAGAGCCAAAGTTAGTCATTAGCCAATGAAACCCCTACTGAGCAATCCACCAAGAATAACCTAAAAATTAGGGTGGCCAACCCAAACAGGTACAGAATCTTTAGATGGTACTCTCTCTAGATGTGTTCCCCCAATCACTAGCCTTTCTTGCTAACTTTGTGATCATATAGATTTTAAGCAATGAGTAGCAAGTTGAGCAAAAAGAATTAAATAAGTAAAACAAAAACTACTTACACTGCTGTCCTTGTCGATTTGTATCTGAAGACCAGTCTGAATTTCTGCCACCTCCCCTCCTATCTCGGAAATATTTTTTACCCTATCACAAAAAGTGAAATTAAAATTATGGAACTATCTAAGAACCATACACCTTAATAGTAACCCACTGCATAAAATCATCCTTTCAATCATCTGAGTTTTGTTTTTTTTTTAAATGGCATTGAGGCTTGAACTCAGGGGTGCTCTAACACTGAGCTATAACTGCAGTTCTTTTTATTTTTTTATTTTGAGACAGGATCTTGCTAAGTCACCCAGGACTGGTGTCTCAGTTGAGATCCTCCTTTCTTAGGCTTCTGGGTGGGGGATCCTAGGTGTGCATCAATGTGCCTGGCTCATCACCTGAAGATTTTAACAGAGTACTCCCATATTAAAGCCTACCTGATAGTAATGCATGTGGTCAGAATGGTCCCCAGAGTCATTTCTGCAACAAATAACACAACATGTCAAAGGCTGCTATCAAAAGGCACCTGAGGAATGCCTAATACTGCAGATTCACTAAGAAACTCTCTTTTTCCCTTTTTTGAAGGGAAAGGAAACAACCCAGAGAGCTATCAGCTAAAGTAAAATAGTGACTGAGTAGAGGGTGACAGAGCAAGATTTGCCCCATCTCTGGTAAGTCTGTCTCTTGATATGGCCACTTCCCAGCTACCACTCCTATGTCAAAATGAGTGAAGGACTAAAGAGGAATTAGATTTCCCAGGTCTATGTGGATATATGATCAAGGTCAGAGGAGTGGGATATCAGGATAGCATTTACTTAGGATTCCAAATGACAAAGATATATGAATATTTTTTCCTGCACATCCAAGACTATACCATCATTTGGGACCCAAAGATACCATGTAGTCAAAAGCAAAAGGCCTCAAGTATCTAGTAATACTACTTAAGAATGAAAATGATTTTAAAGTCAGAAAAAAGGCAGGCTTCAGAAAAAGTAAATGTATAAGTACATATCTGAAGCAACCCACAGTGGGAAGGCACTACGCCTTCTCTCCAGCCAGGAAGAGGAGTTTCTTCCCAGAAACTGAAGAGGGTGGGGGTGGGGGTGGGGGTGGGGGCAGTATCTTTTTTTAACCTTATGTACATATATAACTGAATGACCGATGTGATTCTACAACGTGTACAATCAGAAAAATAAGAAATTATACCCCATTTATGCATTCTACTGTCATGTATAACTAATTAAAACAAAAAACCCTCATTGTCCTGACTGAACTGGAAGGAGGGGCAGCCCCCTCCCCACCAGGGCAATGAGGCCAGTGGCAGGCATAAACTGTCAGGAAGGGGCAGTATCTTAACCCCTCTGCCATACCTTCGTTTTCCAGTGGCCAAGTTTACAGCTACCATCTTCCCATCAATGCTAAACGGTGGATCAAGATTCTGTAAGATCTTCACTACACGAAGAGCTTCCTAGGGAAACAAAGACACATGTGAACCCAAAGAAAGGAAAGACTATGTCCCTGGAAAGAGACGTGAATATGGATTTTCCTTCTCTGAAGAGAAATTTACTAAACTTTTATATTCTAGTCATAATTTTAACATAAAGCACACTGACAAAACCAGGCAACTCTCAATGAAGAACTAGAACAGCAATCAGAGTAGATATCAGTTTCTGATTTAATAACAGATCCAGGTTACAAAGTCCCTTGTGATTTTTGAGCATTAAATCTGAGAAACAGCAAAGACTTTTATTACTATCTTCACACTATCTCCATAGGAAAAAAATATTCAAGCCACGAGCTCTCTCTCTCTTTTTTTTTAAATAATTATTTTTTGGCATAGATGGACACAACACAATGCCTTTTTTTATGTGGTGCTGAGGATCGAACCCGGGTCCCGCTCTTGCTAGGTGGGCACTCCACCGCTGAGCCACAATCCCAGCCCATCTCTCTTTTTTTTTTGGTACTGGAGATTGAACTCAGGGGCACTTGACCATTGAACTGTATCCCCAGCCCCATTTTGTATTTTATTTAGAGACAGGGTTTCACTGAATTGCTTAGCACCTCAATTTTTCTGGGGCTGGTTTTGAACTTGCAGTTTTCCTGCCTCAGCCTCCCACCTCAACCTCTGAAGCCACTCAGATTATAGATGTGCGCCACTGTGCCCAGCAAACCACTAGATCTGATAAATACTTTGAGGAGAAAATGTCCTATTATCATTAAGTATAAAACTATTTGTAACTGGACAAAACAATTCTACAAAAAAAAAAAAATTTTTTTTTTTAATCACTAAAATCTTAAAGGGTCCAGAAGAATCAAAATTCAAATTATTCACAAGTGAATAGGTTGGAAACTATAAACATGCCACAAGGAAGAAACTGACTAAGAAAACCACAGAGTTCTAACTTTTGAGGTCAGTCACCTCACTTCAATGAACACTAAACTTAAAGGAGAAAATTCTTAAGACAGGTTATGATAAGAAAATTAAAATGATATAGAAGTCCCTTCTTTAGGGTTTTTTTTAGCCATCCATCTCTAGACCATTTCAAGGTAAGGGAAACTCACCGCGTGGGAGTCGAGGTCTATAAAGCCATAGGTGTGGCCCATGGGGCCAGTTCTGTTCTTGATGATACGGACATTGGCAGTAGTGAGGTGGACATAGGGCTCCAGCACTTCCACTATCACCTCAGGTGGAGTGGAACGATAGATGCGTTTTAGCATTATTGCTGAATAAATAAATCACACACAAATGGGAGGGAAGCAAACAAAGAGAATAATGAAAATCTTAAGTCCCAAGTCCCAAGAGCATGACGGTCATTTTTTATTGCATATGTTACCTTATTTTAGCAAGGATGGTTCTATAAAGAAATGATAAACAAATACTTACTACATTTCTTCATCAATACTTGGAAATCTAAAATCATGCTTTATTGCATTTGTACAGCAATTTGCTAATTTGGAGGATGTAGATTTCTTCACCTAGTATAGTAAGGCTAACAGAAAACAATGCCTCTGTAATCAGGTTGTACACAGTTCTACTAGGGTATGAGGAAGCAGCTGGCTTCTATCTACAATTATGGGCCGCCTATATGCAGCTGTGATTGTCACCATCTGGTACACTCTCTGACAAGGTACTTACTTTTGCTTTCTCCATCTTGTCGAGTCTCTCCACACCATGGCTCCTTCTCTCGGTCTCTTCGGAAAGTGAATCCTTCCCTTCGAGAATGTGGCAGATATCTTTCTGTTTCTCTCTTTTGATGTCCCATACGTGATTCTTGTCCTTCTTCTTGCTTCCTAGATTCAGGTTCCTTATCAGCTGGCCTTGGGGACTGGTTGGGTTGTTTTTCTAATGATGCTGGTATGGATGTTTTCTGAGGCTGAGGGTAGGATATTAATTCTTGCTTGGTCTCTGTCAGAAGAACAAGATCACAAGTTTGAGCCAAGCTTGGGCAACGTATTAGCAAGATCCTGTCTCAAATAGAATTTCTTTTTTTTTTTCTTTTTGGTACTGGGGATTGAACTCAGGGGCATTCAACCACTGAGCCATATTCCCAGCCCTATTATAGGGTCTCACTGAGTTGTTTATCTGAACTCAGGATCTGAACTCACAATCCTCCTGCCTTAGTCTCCTGAGCCATTGGCTTGCAAAATAGAATTTTAAAAAAGGCTGGGATGTAGCTCAGTGATAAAGGACTTGTCCTGCATAGTGAGGTCTTGGGTTCAATCCCTATACCATAAACAAACAAATAAAAACCACTTAGGAAGTACCTCTTAAGGAAAAACCACAACTCTGCCCAATCTGAAGTGACCTAACAAGCTAAAAATCTCAGTTGTTTATTTCATTTTCCACATGTTGATTTGGTCTCTAAAGGATGCAGAGCTATTCCCCACAAACTCCTTGGAGATACAGTAAACTATAACCTCAGAACAGGTCCTTCAAAAGGCTACTGGATCCCATCACTGAACTGGATTTTCTGGGGTCTACCTTAGGGATAATATCAGAAACAGGCATATGATAGTCATGAATATAGAAAATCTTTGACAATTTTCTTGAAAGGTGTCTACCTAAAGGTTCTCTGAAAAAAGTTTTAAGTGCTCATATACTATATATGTGTATAGAATTATCATACTTTATCTCATACATATGTATAATTACTATATGGCAATAAAAATTAATTTTAAAAAAGGGTAATTGAGGGGCTGGGGTTGTGGCTCAGCAGTAGAGCACTTGCCTAGCATGTGCAAGGCCTTGGGTTTGATCCTCAGCACCAAATAAAAATAAATAAATAAAATAAAGGTGTTGTGTCCAATTACAATTTTAAAAAAATTATAATATATATATATAATATATATATTATAATTTTTTTAAGGTAATTGCTTGAGAAACTAGTAGATTTGATTTTTTTTTTTGCAGTCCTGGAGATTGAAGCCCTTTTTAATCAATCAGTCTATCTATCTATCTAACTCACAGTACCAAGGGCACTCTATCCCTCTGCCTCTGAGCTATATCCCCAGCCATTTTCATCTTTTATTTGTAAGACAAGGTCTTGCTAAATTGCTTAGGCAGATTGAACTTTTGATCTACATGCCTCAGTCTCCCAAGCTGCTGGGATTACAGGTGTACATCACCTCGCCCAGTAAAGCTGGTATGTTTATTCCTCTGTGATAATAACATATTCCCCCAGTCCCAAGTATTTTCTCATGTTTATATTGATTGTCGTTTACTGTTTTTCTATTGATAATCCTGAAATGCTTACAAATAATGTGAATTAGAAAATAATATAGCAATTCATTCTTTTTTTTTTTTGGAGAGAGAGAGAGAGAGAGAGAATGAATTTTAATATTTATTTTTAGTTTTCGGCAGACACAACATCTTTGTTTGTATGTGGTGCTGAGGATTGAACCCGGGCCGCACGCATGCCAGGCGAGCACGCTACCGCTTGAGCCACATCCCCAGCCCGCAATTCATTCTTAATAACTTCAAAGAAGTGTTTATGTGCACATGTATGTGTGTGTGTGTGTTGTCAAACAGCCACGTAGTTTTTGTTGTTGTTGCTGCTGCTGTTGTTGTTTTGCAGTGCTGGGGACTGAATCCAGGACCTTGCACATGCTACGCTATATACCCAACAGGGTCTCACTAAGTGGCCCACAGTAACCTCAAACTTGCCTCAGCTTCCCAAGTAGTAGGATTACAAACATGTGCCACTGTATTCAACTCCGTATACACTTTTTTTTCAAAACTAATATCCTTAACTGTATTTTAAATTACAATACTACTGACTTTAGTCAACTGCACACTTAGCCACTGTAGACCAAGAAGCCTACCAGCCCATCTGCTTCCTCTGGCAAAACTCTGAAATTCAAGGTCATTTACCACAGGTCACATGAAGTTGGATATTGAATTCCACTTTATAATTGGATATGGAGGTTCATGCCTGTAATCTCAGCTACTGAGAAAGTTGAGGCAAGAGGATCACAAGTTTAACCTGGGCAACTTAGCAAGACCCTGTCTTGAAAGAAAGCAAAAAGGGCTAGAGGGATCTAGCTCAGTGGTGAGTACTTAGCTAGCATACTTGAGGTCCTGGGCTCATCCTCAGTAACAAAACACACACACACACACACACACACACACACACCCCACTTTACAGATCAACTTGTATTTGGAGATGCCAATTCTTTAAAGCCAAGAAAATATGAAATTTGCTTTCTTCAGTGCATAAGACAAAAACTACCATGTCTACTGCTCACCTTCCCTTGGGCACTTGCAGAATGTACATGAAAATCGATGCCCACCAGTGCTAGCTTTACACTGTAAGAAAAAAGAAAAGAATTCAACTGACCAAAAACATTTTTTAAAACTTTATAAATATCCAACACAGTAACACCTGCTGAAAATGAAAGAAATAAAGCATACCACTGAAGTCTAAAGAATCTGATATTGCCCCACTTATCAAAGTTGCTAGACAACATTTGAGGAGCTACTGTTTGAAAGCTGCTTTCTAATAGAGCATCTAAACTTTGAAGCAGCCCATGATGTTTGCCCTGGACAGAGATTTTTATAGGAAATAAACTAAGGAAACAGGAATATTATATTGCTTAAAGGATACTACTATCCCAAAACCATGTAAATTTACCCTTGCACCCAAAACTTGGTTCTGGGCTGGTAATGAGTACCCTAATTCATATGTGGCAGGAATTGCAAAGGACACTGGTAATGAGGAGCAAGAAAGGAAAAAGAAAGATATACAGGTAGTGCCTCTAGTAGTTATATAAAAGACATTAATGGAAGGGGTACATTTAGTAGCCCAGAACAAGGACAGACATTTGCACTGTGAACATAACTATTCTTGTCTGAGCCTATGAACAAAAAGTCAAGCACAATGCCCAACCTCCAAACCCCTGATCTTTCACTATTGATCTTTAAGTGCTATGAGGGACAGAGCATTGGCTGGCAGGAACACTCTTGTGGTACATGCCTATCATTCCAGCTACTCAGGAAGCTATAAGAGATGGATTGCAAGTTTGAGGTTAGCCTCAACAACTTAGCAAGACTCTCCTTCAGAAACTTAGGGAGAACTTGTCTCAAAAAATAAAAAGGGCTGGGGGTGTAGCTCAGTGGTAAAGTGCCCTATGGTTCAATACCTAGTACTATAATAAATAGATAAGCAAGTGAGCAAGTAAGCAAGAAGGAAACATGAAGAGGACACAATTCAAATAAGACCCTGTAGCACAGGAGTTTGCAAGATGAAAGACAGGTGAGAACAATAACAGCAGCAGCAGTGGATAATGTATACATGCTATGCACACATACTATGTACTAATTAGTGCTTAAATAGCTCATACCTACTTTACATTATCACTTATTGATTTCAACAACCTCATAAACCCCACAAAACAGGTACTATTCTCTCTCCATTTTATAGATGAGGTAACAGGCCTAGAAAGGTTAAATAACTTCAGTAAGGTCATTACAGCTGATTACTTCATTGCTCCCTTCCCATAAATGAATCATAAACACACTCTGATCCATTGTCAAGAAGACTGTGGTGTCTCCCTATAGGGTAAGTGTACTTCCTTCTCCACTGTGTCTTGCTTTGGCCATTAGAGTGTGAGTGAACATGACCTACACCAGATCTGGCAGAAACTTTGGGACTCACTGCTTGTGTGAATAAACCTCTTAGTCTTTCCCTCTGTCAGGAGAACACAGTCTTACATTGGGAATATTCCTATGGCCTGGGTCCTAAGTTGAGAAGTTATGTAGCACAGAAGTGAAGTGAATGAACCAATATGTAACATGGAAAAGAATGTTTGTTGTTTTTATTGTTTTAAATATATTTTAGTTGTAGATGGACCCAATACCTTTATCTTATTTGTTTATTTTCATGCGGTGGTGGGGATCGAACCCAGTGCTTCATGCATGCTAGGCAAGCACTCAACCACTGAGACATAACCCCAGCCCCCTGTTTGTTGTTTTTAACCAATGGAATTTGTGGGATGTTTGTTATAAAATGAAAATAGCTGCAGCCTGTAACACTTCAGCTGGTACATGGCACAGTCAGGATCCTAACTTTAGTAGATATAATTTAAATACTATAAAACCCATCTATTTAAATGTAAAATTCAATGATTCTTGGTAAATGCATAATACAATCATCATAATAAAATTTTAGAACATTTTCATCATCCCCAAAAGAAATCTAGGCATCATTTCCCTTTCTTACCACTAGGCCTTATGAAACTATGCAATATCTGGTCATTTTTCTGGTACAGTGTTTTTTGTTTTGTTTTTAGTACCAGGGATTGAGCTCAGGGTCACTTAACCACTGAGCCACATCCCCAGCCCTTTTTTGTTTTATTTTTATTTTTGGTACTAGGGATTGAACCCAGGGACACTTAACCACTGGGTCACACCCCTAACCCTATTTTGTATTTTATTTACAAGCAGGGTCTCGCGTGAGTTACTAAGTGCCTTGCTAAATTGAGAGGGCTGGCTTTGAACTTGCAATCCTCCTGCCTCGGCCTCCAGAGTTGCTTGGATTACAGGCTTGTGCTACTGCACTCAGGTTTTTTGTTTTGAGACAGACTCGCTACATCCTAAGGTTGGTGAGGTTGGTCTCAAACTTGCAATTCTCCTGTCTCAGGCTCCCAAGCTGCTGGGATTACAAGCATGAGCCACTATACCTGGATGGCATAGTGTTTTTAAGGTTCATTTATGTTGTAACATGTATTAATACTTCATTCCCTTTAACTGCCAAATAACATTCTGTTTTGTGGATATCCAAGTTTATTTGTCCATTCATCAGCTGATGGGCATTTGAGCTGTTTCTACTTTTTGGCTGTTATAAATAATACTATTAATGAACATTAAAAACAAAACAAAACACCAGGGGGTGAGGGTGTGGATCAGTGGTATAGTGTTCATCTAGTATGTATGAGGCCCTGGGTTTGATCCTTAGCACCACTGCCCCTCCCATCCCTGCAGGAGGGGGAAAAAAAGAATAAACAACTTGGAGACTTAGATATATATATTGATAGTTGCACAACACTGTGAAGGTGCTCAAAGGCATTGATTTTTCTTTTTTCTTAAAAGTGGGGTCTTGCTATGTTATCCAGGCTGACCTTAAACTCCTGGGCTCAAGCGATCCTCCAACCTTAACTCCCAACCTAAGTATATATTTATTTACATTTACGTGGTTAAAATGGTAAATTTTATGTTCTGTGGATTTACAATAAAAAAGTTGAATTTTTAAAAAAAGATACCTTAATGCAGTATGTTTACAAAATTCAGTGCTTCAGCTAATGACAATCATAGCTATCCAAGTTGTATTTGGGTCAGACTATTGAAAAATGTCAAGTTTTTACTGAATTTTGTCAAGTTCTATACACTTTTAATGAATCATGGTTCAGAAACTTTTTAAACTTTTTACAATCATTTAATTTTTAAGCTAATCTGTAACAATGAAGTTAAAATTATATTTTAATGCTCACTGCAATCAAACTGAACCTCTAATAAGAGAATAACCCTAAAAATTTTAATATGCCATTCTGAAGAAATATGAAGCTTAATAGAGAAAAAAATGCCATGGTTAAGTTCTATATATCTGGAAACGTCAGAACACCTCAAAAAAGTAGAGGTACCACAGAACCATCCCTCTTCAAAACTACTTTTGCAAACACCACTTCCCTATGTCCACCCTCAGGAAGAGTAAATGAGACGGGCTATAAGGGTACTGTTACTGCTTTCATAAATATCAGATATGCCCTTGGGAAAGTGTCTACAGGGCAGTCCAGCCACATTTAGCACCTGAAAAACAAGAATTATGGATGATCTTCCCCCTGAACTCCATTCAGTTCAACTGAAGTGAAATGAGGGAGCAGAGTTTTCTCCTTGGCAATATATGCTAATAGGCGGCATTCCTGGATATATGGAAGAGCTGCTATATGGGCTGCTTCTTTCTAAAGAAAGTAATTCTTGGTACTTACTCGTTTGCAGTACCAAAATTCCGGGTTTGGTAAATACTCAAGGGTGACCTCTTTATCATGGATCATTAGAGTTCCCTGTAAAGAAAAAGACAGAAGCTATTAACATCAATCCTCAGAGAAAAAGATAGAGACAGGAAGGCACAGAGAGACTTTCCAGTCCCCAAGATGAAACATTTTATAAAGAGTGTGTTTATTCATCAGCAAAAGGAGATAGCTGTTTTAAGCCACAGACTTGGGGCAGTGTGGCAGAAGAAGTTAAGCTTAGGGAAGGGGAGTGGGAGAAGGTGAAATTGGTCTTCAGACTTGGTCCAGTGGGCTGAGGTACTGTCCTTGGGCAGGCTAGGTCCAGTCTACTTATCCAGAGGTCATACAGCGCACATTCACAAGTCCCAGCAAATCCCCTACCTAGCTCAAGAGCTAGCACAATATCAAGAAGCAAACTCTTCCTTCTGTAGCACAGAGGTGTAGGAGCCATCTTCTGTCAATTGTCTTCTTTTCTACCACTAACTTGCATCTCCTCAGAGAGGCAGTAAGGTCTATAACTTTGGAGCCTAAAAATTATCTTTGGAACACTGGCTGCATGGCAACCGCACCAGGAGAAAGAGGTACAACACTGAAGATAGGCAGAAAGGAGGAAGGTGAAAGCTTCACAGTAGATTATTTCCTTATAGCAGGAATCTGTGAATGGTTGGTGGCAGCAGTAATGGTGGTGGTGATGGTGGTGGCAGCATCACTCTGGCTTGGCAACCCTGACATCTGAGGAGTAACCATTGGCACATAAGCCTTTGGGAAAGTGTAGCAAAGGAATAGGTGGGAAAGGGCTCAACAAGCCTGTAGTTACAGAGCTCCCCTGCCTCTCCATTTTGGATGTACAAATTCTATTTGACATTAGGAGAAAATGTGATTTAATAAACATGAGCCAGCATACATGTATTGGAGCAAAAGGAAAAATATCTCTGCCTACTAACAAGGAACCCTCACCCACACTTGTAAGCGAACTAACCGAGGATGCGACTCTGGAACTAGCCCCTGCGCTGTGTTCATTCTCCGCCCTCTAGGGTCCTCTGTGTCTCCTCAGACAGGGCTCTGAGTTATACAAGTCATTTCTCTGCAATTGGACCTCAGTTTCTTGCTTGAATCCATACATCTGTCAAATAATGCTTTACCTCTCTGCTTTTCACACCAAAAGAGTCAAGAGAAATACACAGAATAAGATTATTGTCTTGTCAAACCAAAGGAAATCTGGGTAGATTTTCCTACCTACATAGGTCTTAGAAACTGATCTCTGAGAAACTATTTGCTGGATTGCTCTCAAGGCTAAAGGACAATAATAATAATAAAAATTGCTAATATTTATTAAGCGCTTACTCAGAGGCCAGAAACCACTAAGTACATTGTCTTATTTAATCCCCTAAATGATCCCATGAAGTAACATTTCCACTTTACAGATAAGGAAACATGTTCAGAGAGGCCAGATCATCCAGCTGGCAAAGGTCAGAGTTGGACTGATCTGGGACTATAGTGAATAGAGCTTCTGTCTTATTCACCAATTTGTGCTAAGTATTAAAAAAGGTAATGTAGTCTCAGGAGATAAGCAGGAAAGATAAGCTCTGCAAGCAGGAAGGATCAATGGAGCACCATTTTCCCAAGCTTTACCTATGCAAAAGATTGGTCAAGATGGTCCCCTTCCAAACCCATTTAATCATTTAAGAGCATGGACTCTGGTCCAGATTCTCTAAATTTGAATCCTGCTTCCACTCTATGACCTTTAGCGATATCATGAACTTCTTTGTGCTTTAGTGTCTTCATTTGTCAAGTGGAGATTACAGTATCTACTTCATAGGGTAGTAGTAAAGATTATGTAAAATATTACACATACAAAGCTTAGCATGGAATATATAGTGAAGGCTCTATTAGTGATGTTATTGTTGTTGTTGTTATTATTATTTTGTTTTGAGTCAGAACCTTGCTAAATTGCCAAGGCCCTGTGCCTCCTGAGTCCTTAGAATTGTAGGCATGAGCCACCACACCTAGCAATGTTGATTATTCAAGCCCTAAGGACTCAAAAGGACTATCATCAGCAGTAGGTGAGACTACACAGGATTCAAATAGCCACTCATTTCACCTTACTTGCTTGGCAGATGGGAACATTTCATATTACATTTCAAACTCCTTAATGACTAATAGTCACTATGCACAGCAGAACTTGCATCTCTGTGTTAGTTTTCAAATTGCTGGTCCAAGTATTAAGAGTACAGGCTAAATCTTGTTGGCTTTTTATTATCAGCACCAAACACAATATCTGGTATATAAAAGGAGATTAATAAGTTTTTATTGAATGACTGGAAGAATGAATAGAAACAATTACATCTGTAGGACCAGAGTACTGGTCCTACAGTGGCTATGGATTTAAGTGTTGCTGTCATAGCATACATCTACACACCCAATCCATAAAACATATAGGGGCCATTTGAACAGTGAACAGTAGTAGATATCAAAATAACGCCACACTGAATTTGAGTACTGCAAATTCTGATTTCACCACTTGGAGGCATCAGTTGATTTAGGAATTTCTAAGGCAAGGAGTAATTTGTACTTCTCAGACAACATATATGCTATTTCAGTAGCTGTGGACGGATCACCTTTTGTAGAGGGTAGGGAACTTTCCTGGCAGCAGAATCTCCAGACATGTCAACTTTGAGATTCCTTTTACCTCATATAGTACCAACACAATTATTTCTTATTCTTACAGAATCTCCTTTAACTCAATTAGCCTTTCTTTTTAACTGTCATGTAGAGAGACATCAGGCTGCCAGTGACTGCTATAGAATATAAAATCTAATGAAGAACAGCCAATTGTCCAATAAGAATGAACAAAGGAAAAATCTGAATAAAAACAATCAGGTTTATCTATGATTTGATTCCCCAGCTGTTATCAAACACAGGTAGCACACATGTTCTAAGCACAGATATATGACATATATATATATATATATATATACACACACACACATACACACAATGTACCCCTCCCAATCCCTATCACATTCTTTCTCCAGATTTCACAGAGCAGAGATCTGCCAGTGTCTCCTATGAAAGTAACCTGTGGGGAATTGAACTAATAAATGGGTAGAAAGATGTGATCATAGTTAGTGGCTATACATTCTTTTTTATTATTACTTTTTTTGGTAGTACTGGAGGTTGAATGGAGGGTCTCACACATGCTAGGCAAGCACTCTACATTCCCAATCCTTTTTTTTTTTTTTAAACACAGACTGGAATGGAATTTGTGAGCTTCCTCCCCCTCAGCCTCCCTAGTAGCTGGAATTATAGGTGTATGCCATTGTGCCTGGTGGCTGTTCATTTTTTTTTCTTTTATATTTATTTTTTAGTTTTAGGTGGACACTATCCTTATTTTATTTCTATGTGGTGCTGAGGATTGAACCCAGTGCCTCATGCATGCTAGATGAGCACTCTATCACTGAGTCACAACCCCGGCCCTGGCTGTTCACTCTTAATGGTCTTCACACATCAGAATTTCGCCCCCATCATTTGAAATATTGGATTGTCTTTTGTTGTTATTTATTATTGTTTTAGTCCAGGGGATTTAACCCAGGGGTGCTTTATTACTGAGTCATATCTTCTACCTTTTTTATTTTGAGACAAGAACTTCTTATGTTGCTTAGGGCTTCACTAAATTCCTGGGGCTGGCTTTGAACTTATGATCTTCCTGCCTCAGCCTCCCAATTCCCTGGAATTATAAGCATGCACCATAACTAGCACCAGCAGTTTTAATCTTAATTTAGACTAAAACCTGCTAAAATCCTCTCAAGCCCAAGTCCCTCACTTATCAAAATAGCAAATAGGAGTTTCTAAATACCTTTTTTTTTTTTTGGTATTAAGAATTGAACTACATTCCATAGACATCAGGCTGCCAGTGACTGCTATAGAATCTACTTTCCCAGCTCATTTCATAATTTATTTTTAAATTTTTGGGGGTACTGGGGATTGAACTCAGGGGCACTTGACCACTGAGTCACATCCCCAGCCCTATTTCTGTAGTTTATTTAGAGACAAGGTTCACTGTATTGCTTAGTACTTCGCTGTTGCTAAGATTGGCTTTGAACTCTGATCCTCCTACCTCAGCCTCTGGAGCCATGGGATTACAGGATTGTACCTCCATGCCCAGTTGATTATTTATTTTGAGATAGGGTCTCACTAAGTTGCCGAGGATCTTGTTAAATTGCAAAGGCTAGCCTCGAATTGGCAATCCTCCTGCCTCAGCCTCCTGAGTTGCTGGGATTACAAGCATGTGCCACCACAGTGAGCTCCCATTCCCTTTTTCACCAGTGGTTCTTAGACACTTCACAATTCCTTTTTACAATTGTCAGTCAGTAAGGTATCAGAGCTAAGACTCTATCATATGCTTTTCTTTGCTCACAACTAACCCTCCAAGATTCTAAGGTACTAAGAGGTATAAGAGAAAATGGAAAGGAAAAAATTGTTCCAGTCAGTAGCTTTGAATCTTTGTTGAAGTTTGCCAACATAAGCTGAGTCCCAGTTATACTTTATAATGAGAATATGATTATTCTGTGACATTACAGATTTTCCATTAAAGCACAGAGGCAGCAGGATCAAACGCAGAAAAAAAAAAAAGTACGTGAGGTAAATACAACTCATACTGAAAAATCAGCAATCCCTTTTTTGTTGATTTGTTCAACTGATGGGAAAATGAGGCTACCGGTGGCTCAGGGCTAGTACTGTTTATCAGAGATAGTAATCTTTATTCAAAAGGCAACACAGAGGGGCTGGGGTTGTGGCTCGATGGTAGAGCATTTGCTTAGCATGCATGAGGCACTGGGTTCAATCCTCAACACCACATAAAAATAATAAATATATTGTGTCCATCTACAACTAAAAATTTAAATTAAATTTTAAAAAAAAGCAAACAGAATTTACAAAGGCATTCTTCACAAATGTCTATTTCTGTGGTTAACCAATATTTGACTTCTAAAGATATGATCTTAGTGGAAATTAAAAATTACATTTGAGGGCTGGGGATGTGGCTCAAGTGG